CTTTGATCTCAGTAGAGGCTCAACCCAACTATCACAACATGAATTTCAGCTACAACCACAGTACATGCCTTTACAGTATAATGGATTTGTATGCATTTACATATATATTCAAAAAAAATTATAAAAAAATGAAAGTTGTGCAAGTTAAGAGCCAGTTTCATTCAAGTAGCCTTGAGCAAACACTGAATGCTAAATATGGTGTGTTTCAACAATAACAACACACTGGTCATTCAGAATCTTATAATACAGTCAGAAAAAGCATTTAGGACTGCAACGATCTGTCTCGATCCTTCAGACTCAGCTCAGACATTAAACTGTTAATTAGCATCCTCATGTGGCCAGCTGGACAAAATGCACCTGCACAAAGTCAAACGTAATGCTTAAAATATCGTAAAGTTCAAACATTTAAAGATGCGAAGGAGAGATTTAAGGAAGAAATATGTCTTGCTATAAACTTCTTCAGTCGAGATAAGAAGCTATAGCTTAATTTAACTAGCTATGTGTTAACCACTAACAGCTACATCCCACCAATGCTCTACAAAAGAAACTGGACTAAAATTAAGATTTATTTTCTTAACATCAAAGAAAATATAAAGAATGATTCTCTTTATTGTATTTGGTTAATTTTGAATAGCCTACTGCTGTTTTTCTTTTCTTTGCGCTTGACTCTAGGTTACATGTGGAAAAATGTCTGTATGTGTGGTGCTCGTCAGTGATTAAGTCCAAGTTTCTACCCTTCATTTCCCAAACAATGCATTGAAGTAAACTTTTGTTGTAAGTGTTGATTTCAGCAGAGTTAGAAGGAATGTGTGGGCCTAATACGGGTGAGTTACACCTGGGCTGACTGTTATCCCCCCAAGTGAAAGTTAATTATTTTTGAGCTTCATGCTTCAGTTTCATTTAATCTTTGTGCTCATTTTATATCAGGTCTCCTGGAGTGAAAAGAATCATAAATCAACGTCAGGATTAGAGAAATTAGAGAAGTGTCTGCCATAAATCATAGATGATGCTAGTTAGAACCACAAAAGATGCAAAAAAACTTACTTTATAATACTTAAGCTATTGATAGCGTTTTAAACTTTTTTGACATTAGTATGTCTTTCATTTTGACAACACATGGCCCACGGCCATCTGGCCCGTGTTATTGATCTAAAGCAGGGGTGGACAATCTCAGTCCACGAGGGCCGGTGTCCCTGCAGGTTTTGGATGTGTCCTCGAACCAACACAGCTGATTTAAATGGCTACATTAGCTCCTCAACATGTCCTGAAGTTCTCCAGAGGCCTGGTAACAAACTAATCATGTGATTCAGGTGTGTTGACCCAAGGTGAGATCTAAAACCTGCAGGACACCGGCCCTCGTGGACTGAGATTGCCCACCCCTGTTCTAAAGTGTTCCCATACACGGGTTGGACCTCTCCTCTGTGGCAGTGTTAATTGGGGAGCAATGTCTCTGATCAGGAGATATACTCATCTGTTTTTACCAATTAACCTACTTAAATCAAAGCCCAACATCATACGATTGCTTGAATTAGGATTATCCACAGTTTTATTGCATAAATTAGCTAAGGTCAGTTCACTAGTCAAAGACTGAGCTGCCCTGTCTCTGATCCACCTGTGTTTACTTGAGTCTGACAGTTTCATAAGATAATCATTTACAACAGAATCATTTCATCATCAGTGATTAAATGAGGAAAAATGAAAAAGGACTGTGTCTCTTTAACTCCCAGAGTCTTTCTAATGAGTCCCCCTTCTTTTAACATCACTGGGGAATGAAGCTTCAAGGCCTGACTGGAAACAAACACTGTAGTCTAATTAATCTCTTCTGTAGTTCATTAGAAGTGGCAGGGGATATGGGAATGCAAGTATTTCAAAGAGACAGACTTGCAAACATCAACACTGTTTAATAAACCCTCGACATTTGAAGGTAATAATTACAGCATCCCGTAATAACAGAGTACGAATGATAAATAATACAAAATATAAATAATAGAAATTGTAGTTCAGCACCAATTTTAGCATTTTTTTATTTTTCCTGTTGTCAAATACACCTTAATCCTCACCAAACATTTGTGAATCATCAGTATAAATGATCATCATTATCATTTCTGTGATTATAGAATTTATTTTACTGTCACAATGGGGTTCTCAAATCCCATTAGTCACACCTTATATTTGTATTTATGTAATTGAAAACTAACTGTTGGTTCACAGCAAGAAGGTCATGAGTTCAACTCTACTTCTGGCCTGTAGAGTTTGTTTTTTTCTCTCTTGGTTGCGCGAGTTTTCTCCAGGTCCTCTAGCTTCCTCCCACAGTTCAAACACATGCAGTTAGCGTGATTAGGTTAATTGATCATTTTAAATTGCCCATAGGTGTGAATGTTTGTCTCTCTGTGTCAGCCCTCCATCAGACTGATGATCTGTCCAGGTTGCACCCTACTTCTCGCGTTATAGTAGCTGGGATAGGCTCCAGCTTCCCCACAACCCTGATAAGGATAAAAGGACGAGGATGGATGGATGGAAAACCACGTACATATTTATTTCATTGGAATTAAGATGATAAGTAGCAGCAAGGAGCTGCTAATCATAGAAGGGTAGGCATTCGAAATCAAAGCCATGGTCTGCTGTTTGGCCAGCATGGCAGCTTTGCTGGCACTGGGTCATGATCTCAGCACAGCAGCAAGTCTACAACAGGATGGCTGAAAAAGAAAAGAATAAAACTGTTGCAATGGTCTGGTCAAAGTCCAGAGCTCAGCCTTGACTTTAAGAGCTCAGGATAACTGGATGCTCCCAAACTCCAATGAACTGAAAAAACTGTGCAGCAAAATTCTTCCACAACAAGAAACTGACAAAGTCAAACAGAAAACAACCACTTCAGCTTATTGCTTCCAAAGGTGGCTCTACAAGCTCTTGAATCATGGGGTGTACTTTGTTTTTCTGCTGCTTTCACTGCTTCTGCATTTTGGCTTAATTTTTGTAACCCATCATTAATGTAAGTTGCTGTTAGTATTTACCTAATTTTAAGAACTGCTAAGGATCAAGTGATATTTTTAATCTAGTGACAGGTAAAACCTAGAATTGAAAGATAGTTTGCTTTCTTTTTCACATGACTGTAATTAATCTCAGTTATATGTATAATTCTCAAAATTGTAGGGAAATTGGTTTAAAATTGAGGCCTGAGCACACTGAGAAATATAATATTATGTAATTTTTATTTTTGCATAAATAATACAAACACAGTAATTTTGCCCAAACAAACGTCTGTATGAAATGACTAAATGGCTAAACCTGATAAAACTAACAATGAATGCAGATCCATTAGGACTTGGATTTCTGCACCCACGAGAAACTCTGTCTCAAGACAAAAATGATCCTCTCCAGCCTCCTCGACTCCTGGGAGCCCCACTAATGAGTCCTTATTTGTGATGTCATTTCCAGAGGATGCTGGCTAATGACCTTGCCTATAACAAACAAAGCTTTTACTGTTCAAGCTTAGGCTTAATTAATCTCATCTGCATCCATTAGAAGGTTTTGCTCTCATGTAATTAAAGCTGCAGTGTAATGGGAAAGGATGTAGAGTGATATTAATGACTCATTAGTGTTCTTGAAAAGCTCAAGTAAACCTCTAATTGTCTAATAGTCATCTCGTCTTTGAAGAGCTGTAGAAGATAAGCCTGTAATCTCAGTTGCTGCACACAATGACCCGCTTTCTCAAGTCACACTTTTTATAATGTCTTTATAATGACTGTGAAAAATAATAGGTGCAAAAGATTACATTGTGCTCACACTTACTTGCTGTGGTGGCAATTGGCATAAATCATGTGCTGCAGACAGAATTTACAAGAAAGTGATAACTTCGCTAGAAATTTGAGTTTTGTTTTTGTTTTTCATAATTTGAGGGCAGATCAGAAAATTCACAATTTTATAATCACTCATAAAATGTTATATGCTATCACATTAGGAAATGTACCATCCAATCCTGGAGTACAGTAATGTACAGAACTCTGTCCAGTTCTGTAACAAACTAAGTACACCTGATGAGTCAGTAACTTCAATATAACCACGTTTAGAAGCAATAACTTAAAGTAATCATTTTTTGTATGATTTTATCAGTTCATGGTCAACTCCTCTGTGTACTCAGAGACATCAGGTTGCCTGTGGCTGCAAAACAAGACCAAATCATTACACCTTCACCACCGTGCTGATAGTTAGTATGAGGCTGTTTGTGCTAATATGCTGTGTTTTGTTTTGTTGTTTTTTTGCTGAGATGTTCACTCCTTGGAAGTTTGTGGGTTGTGTTAACCCTTTTCACTTGCTTATTTAGGATCATTGGTGGTTACTGCTCCTCCTTGGCATTACGAACATACTTGAACATTCTTACAAGAATGCTTTTACAAGCATGTCAACCAACAGGCTATAAACTGTTAGGCTTAAAACTTTCCATTTTGACAACACATATAGTTAGGGTTGGCTTAAGTGACCCTGAACCCTCCCTTAGTTATGCTGCAATAGGTCAAGGCTGCTGAGGGCTTCCCATGAGTGTTTCTTATTCACTTGCCATTTTCCCTTGGGGTCTTCTGTGTCTTTGAGACGTATCTTAACAATATACATTATCCCTCCAGCATTTGTCTTTTTTGTTACACTAATTGGCAACATCATAGCAAACAGGATAACCCTTTTTGTGTTCTCTATCTCCTCCTAGACAAGGGCACTGATCTTGATGAAACTTTGCATAAACATTGCCAACAATTGTACATATTTGTACAGCTGACATTTCAACTAAATGCTGAATGGAGTTTCACTTAGAAATTAATTAATGTATCAGTAACATTAATCAATGTATCACTAATTATGCATTTTATTTGAATTAGAATGGTGTGTCATAATATAATATATCAGCAGTTCTACGCTGACCCTGAAAACAGACCTTCTTTTTTTTGCATTATCACTAATTATTAGTGATAGAAACCAATGACGTGCACGTTCTCGCTGCTCAGCGGAACCAAAGTCACCAGCGACGGAAGTACTTTACTGATACACTTTCGTCCGTCACTGAAATGTTACCCCCTGCAGCGTCCGTGCAGGTTGGTTGTAAAAAGCCTGAAGTTATGAAGATTAGGACAAAAGTGCCTCGATAGAGACATTCGCCGAGAGACAATTAATAGGTAGGTACAAGGGGTAGTTTCTTTATCCTCATAGGTGTTTAACAGGCGTCGTCCAGGAACACGAAACGACGGCACAGCTGTGTTCTAACGTCAGTGTAGCTAAACGTCCAGGGTAGCCTGACACTGACGAGTGTCAACGTTGCTTAACTAATTTAAAGTTGGAAGAGTTCAGTGTTATTTCACTCAGGTAAACATTACCAGAAAAAGAGTTCTAATCAAAGTTTTGTATTTTGTATTTACTCTTTTTATCTTTCTTTCAAAGTTTGTTTGATAATCTGAAACGTGTGACAAGATGCAAAAATACTTTTTCTCAGCACTGTAAATATTGAATTGATATTTCACAACTCGGGTCAAAACACTGAATTCTGAAACAAAAAAGCATTTGTATAGGTTACAAAGGACCTTTAGAAAGGGCGGATGTATAAAAGTAACCACAATAATTCATAAAAATGACAAAAACTAACAACTATATTATTAGATAAAACTCCTAAGATACAGATCTCTCACATTACAGATTTTAAGATGCCTACAGGCCTGAGCAGCAGCTCTTTTGTGTTCTCATTATTAATAACAGCCTGTATTCTTGTCAGCAGTGTGACTGAGTCAGGACGTTGTATTCACACAGGATGGCTTCACCTCATGACCGCAGCCGGAAAGATGACGAGGATGACCCTGTTGAACAGATGATATCGCGCACTGGCTGCGCTGAGCTTCACTACGCCATCCAGGAATGCATGGCTGAACATCAGGACTGGCGAGCATGTCAAAGCCAAGTTCAGACGTTCAAAGACTGCATGATGAATTTCCAAAAGGCCCGAAAAGAACAGCTGAGGCAGCATCAGCCGCCCTCCACCAAGTCTGCGGCCAGCTGAATACAGAACATCTTGCAAACACATACAGTGCTGTGTTTGGGACTTGACTGACAACCTTAAATTGCAAAGACTGTACCTAATTTAATCATTAGAATTGAAAATAAAGCTCTAGCAGTATCATAAAATCCCTACTTACAGTCTCAAGTGTGTGATTTAGAGCCTGACTGATAATTGGGATTTAATAGGCAACATGAAATATCACTTAACTTCAGTTAGCTTGTGTTTAAGCGTGTATGTATGTAAAGAGATGCCATACTATGTGATTTGTGAATCAAAGTGCTTTTGAAAGTTATCTTTTCAGGTTAAACGCTTTATTTTTGGTCAGTAATGTATTTTCTTTAAATAAAAATGAAAAGATTGTTTTCAGTCTTTTCATAGTTGCATGAAATTACCATGACTCTTGCCACAAATACATTTTTAGCGGAAAATCTGAAACTTTGGGATTTTTCATAACTTCAAGCCAAAGCAATAAAACACCCTTGGAATCTTTGGTGTTTAGTTTTAGGTAGATACAAAACTGTGCAAGCCACAGATATGAAGTCTGTAAACTCTTTGAAATGAAAAAGTTTTGCTTCCTCTATGAAATCACTGTCTAAGCATCACAAGCAAAACATTAACTCAAGCCATGGGTGTAACCCCTCCCCCCCAAAAAAAAGAGTTATAAAGAGTTTATTAAGAGTTCTCTGGAGAGAAATTTGCCTCAGAAGTGTTACAAATGTGTACAGCGTGATCCACAAGCACAAACTAAGATTTACAAATGTGTGCAGTAATTTGTGTGTAACTTTTGAGGATTCACAAATGCGTGCTGCAATTCATCACACAAATACAAAGCAATTTGAACACATAAAACTATTTTACAAATGTGTGCATCAAAGCCTGTAAGAAAAAGATCATTTACGCACAATTTATTGATTTCGGCTTCACGAGTCTGTCAAAAACACTTCTGTGCATGTCCTACATGCAATGTGAGTTTTGAGACAAATTTCACACAAATCGTAAATATCTGATCAGCTGTGTACAGATCTGTGCACGGATCAAAAAATGTGAGCTGTATTTGTACAGTCCCTATCAAAAGTTTAAGACCACTTAAAAAATACAGCTGATCAAAAGTTTAGGAACGCGTGCCTTTAAAATGCCAAGTCTGTGCAAAACTGTAGATTCATTGTCATTTTCTGTCAGGTAGTCACACTGTCATGATGTTCTGATGGGAAAGACAAAAAAAAAGTTCCCTTTTTGAACTTGGTCGGGTTGTTGAAATGCATAAGTAGGGTCTCTCGCAGCGTGCCATCACTACTGAGGGGGGATGCAGTAAGACAGTCATTTGGAACTTCTTAAATGATCATAAGGGGTATGAAACAAAAAAGTCAAGTGGAAGAACCAAAAACTTCACCAGTACTGAGCCAGAGGATCGAATTGGCTGTTCGTCAAGACACTGGACGATCCTTGTCCCAAATTAAGGCCGTTACCTGTGCCAACTGCAGCCCAATAACTATCAGATGGCATCTGAGACTGAAGGGCTTCTAAAACAAAAAAACATCTTGCAAAGGCCTCGTCTCTTTGAACACCACAGAACTGACTGTTTGGACTTTGCAAGAGGGCACCAAACATGGGACATTGAAAAGTGGAAGAAAGTTTTATTTCACCTTGATGGTCCTGATGGTTTCCAGCATTACTGCCATGACAAGCAGATCCCACCTGAGATGCTTTCTACGCATCACAGTGGAGGGGGGGCCATAATGATCTGGGGTGCTTTTTCCTTCAGTCGAACAGTAAAGCTTCAGGAAGTGCAGGGGTGTCAAACGGCTGCTGGCTATGTCCAGATGTTGCAGAGAGCATCTCTCATGACTGAGTGCCCTCATCTGTGTGGTAACGACTGGGCTTTTCAACAAGACATTGTACAGTACACAATGCCTGCAGAACAAGGGACTTCTTCCGGGAGAATAACATCACTCATTTGGACCATCCTACTTGTTCCCCTATTCTAAATTCAATTCAGAACCTTTGAAGATGGATGGCAAGGGAAGTTTACTAAAATGAACAACAGTTCCAGACAGCACATGCCCTTCGTGTCATCTTCACCACTTGGAGAAATGTTCCCACTTACCTGCTCACCTCATGGAAACGCTTGCATCAGCTTTAAAACAGCCTGTTTCGATTTAAGCGTTGTTTTCAATAAATTGCATGCTCAAATAAATGTTTCGTCTCACTCCCATTTCTTCTTGTTGTATGTTGAAGCTCTACTTGGAACCTTGTTAAGATCCAACCATGCAAAATATGATATATATATTTTTTCAATTTTTCAAGTAGTCTTAAAGTTTTTATAGCGACTATATCTGGGATTCCTCTGTATTCTCTTCATGGAGTTCTCTCTGTAGCTTCCAGCAAAATCCAGCTGCATCAGAAAAGAAGAGGTTGAACTACAAATGTGGTAAAAGCTTTAATGGGCCAGTAGAACTGTTGTTGGGAAAAAAAAAGTGTAGGGAAAGCCACAGTCAGACACAGCTTTTTAAATGAGTCCTGTGAGATGCTTCAACTTAGAAAACATTAAAACATTAATTGGAATTAGTTTATTTTAAGGACAGGAAAACTTTGATGATCAAAGTAAGCAACAATTCTGCTCTCTATGGATCCAATTACTGCAAATAATTGGATATTGTTTAATGTTTTTCTCATTATATTGTAAGCATCACCTCATGAGATCAGTATAGGTAAACTGTATATATTTCGCTGTAAAGAGGTCAGACATGCAGCCACATGCTTGCAGCCTGTGCTGTCCAATCCTTTCAGAAAACATCAGGTGAGCTGCATTCACTCCTTTAACACATGCATGACTTCAAATGTGCTCATTAAACTGCCATGTGAATTGTACCTGTATTGTAATGCCACTGTAACAATATGATTTTCTGTTCCTTAGACTAATAAGGTAGTCCTCAAACACAGGTGGTGGAGTTCAACTATGATTTTACAAAGGACTGTTTTAAACAGCTCTGCTATCATTCATCCTCCAGGTTTCTATATCATTGGATTTGAGACATTCCCTTTCATCAGTGTCTACTTTATCTTCCTGGTGTTTGTTTATGGTGTTACAGTGCTGTTTAACATTTTGGTGATTTATGTCATTGCTTCTACTCGTCGTTTGCACACTCCAAAATTTTTGGCTGTTGTCAACCTTGCAGTTATTGATCTGTTTCTTAACACTTGTACCATTCCCAGCATGATAAAAATATTTCTCATCAAAAACAACTTCATTCCATTTAACTTGTGTTTGCTACAGATGTATGTTTATTATGTGTTTGTATCTTTGGAGTCATTTGCTCTTGCTATACTTGCCTATGACCGGTTAATTGCAATATGTTTCCCTCTGCGTCAAAACTCCATCAACACTGTGCAAAGCATGTGTTGTATTATCAGTATAACATGGTTTCTTGTTATGGGAGTAATTGCATTTACAACAGGTATAATGACTCGACTCTCTTTTTGCAGGTCTGTGAGAGTGTTCAGCTATTTCTGTGACTATGCACCTGTGTTTCGGCTTGCCTGTAATGATAACACAATGCAGTGGTTTGCAGCTTCCTTTCTCAGTGTTTTGTTACTTTTTGTCCCTTTTACTTTCATTTTTTTGTCCTATGTCAGCATCCTGGTGACAGTGTTCAGGATGAAATCTGTGGACAGTCGGGTGAAAGCTTTGGCCACGTGTGTTGAGCATCTCATTCTTGTTGCTATATTTTACATTCCTCTTACTGTCATTTTCACAATTGGTTTTTTTCTGGGTGTTGTTAATCCAGATCAGCGAGTTCTGAGTCTGTCGCTGGCCTCATGCATCCCACCTTGTATCAATCCTATTGTATATTCTTTGAAAACCAAAGATATCAAAACCAGAGCACTGAAACTGTTCAGAAAAACTAAAGTTAATGCATAACATAATAAATAGACTGAAATAGTTTGAAATGTCAAACTGATTTCACGTCATGGAGCACTTTGTTCTTAAATGGGCTAGATGAATGAAACTGTCCTTTATTTCAGTGTATAAAGTTTTAAATACAAGAAAACAAGGTGGTATTTTAGCTGTATGACTTGGTTTTCTACATGTGTAGAGTTAAAGAAAAAGTTCTGGTACCTTATTGTCCAGACTGTCCTGTATTTATAAAACAAAGGTTATCTATAGGTGGTGAAAAACAGGAACTTTTCTGTCTTTTAATTATTTATCTATTACTTCTTCTGGTTTACCATGATTGGAAATAGGGGAGGTTTTTTTTAATAGGAAAAGCTGTTAATCATATGAAAATGTTTTAATGTTTTTCCTTCCTTCACATGTTCTAGCCTGGCTGGATTATGCTGTTTTGTGCCCCCATACCTTATATTTGAAACCTTTAGTTTAGAGAATCAGTGTCAAGAAGGCTGACAACAGGGTAATGTGCTGTAAACCTGAGTCTATAATGTTTACATCATTCAAGAAGAGGAGCGACAAAGTCTGTGATGTCTTTACTCTTAAACTACTTAAAGTACTACTTAAGAAATCCATTTCACTATTCTGTTAATTATGTTTTCATATTATTAATTTGGTGGCTTGTGTGAATTTTTTTCATAATACTTACACCATTTTTATGAGGTAATAAGTAGCATTGTGATAAATTATGGAACTTTAAATGTGAATATTGAAGTTTTAAAGTTTGGATTAATTTGAAAGTTTTTTTATGAACCAATCATGATTTCACATCTGTTATTTCAATAAGGAGAGTTTGTTAGAAGGAGATTTACACATAAGCTTCATTTAATTTAACTAGACTCATTTTGTGACTAAACTAAACTAACTGTCACATCATAAGTAACACTCCATATGTATACAATGGTTAAAATAAGTATTGAACATGTCACCATTTTCTAAATATATTTCTAAATATATTTATTTATTTATTGACATGACATTCTCAGCAGATGTCGGGAAAACCCATCCAGTCCACACATGCAAATTAATCAAACCACAGATGTCCATAAAATATGTGTAATTAGTTAGAAATGACTAGTACTGAACACATGACACGATACTGAACACATGACACGATACTGAACACATGACACGATACTGAACACATGACGAAAGGGAAGTGCAAAAAAACCTGACACCAGCTGCAATCTATCAGTGATTAGTAAGCAATCCTGCCACTTTGTGCAAATTAATGTCAGCTGGTTCAGTCCCCACTGA